TCAAGTGTCAGAAGTGCAATTTATTTTTATGTTGTGTAGTGTTGTTTTGGCAAAAGAGAAAAAGACCAAGCCAAACTCAAACTCAAACCCAACCAAAAGCTGAAACCAGCGAACGCGCGAGTCCCAACAATACACAAAATAAACAAAAGCTGAGCAGAAATGGAGAGTTCGAAGTGTGGGTGTTTGGGTGTTTAGGAGGGGCTTTATTTTCCTGGTGGTCCTGCCATAGTGCTTGTCCAGCTGGTGTGGCCATAAAAACCAAAGCTGGAGCTCAATGTGGTCTGCGTTGGCTATATGAAAAGTGTTAATATATGCATGAATAACGCGGCAGTGGAGAGCGAAGGGTTGAGATAGCAGTCTATAATAGAGCTAATACAAATCATTCGATTTGAGATTTTAATCTGACGATTTTATATTAGAACCACAAAAACGGAAAACAATCAACGTGCCATAAAATAGCGAAACGTTATATGGTAACAACTAAATATTGGGGATCTAAATTCTATTGTGGGAAATAATGTCTGAAAAGTTTACTTTCACATTAATTTAACAATTATTATTACAGTATTTCGTCATTAATTTCACAAAATTCTAATAAAAACTTGGTTTTCAGGATTCACCGATAAAGACTGGTAAACATACATCTCCCCTTTCTTTTATTTATTTTTTAGTTACACAACTTATCCAGACGTGTCAAAAAGCATCTAATGGCAGCATAATTTATTTATGTGCTAATTAAGTTGCATGCTCTCAAAGTTTTTACCAGCTTTTCAGGGAGAAGGCACAGCCCGAAAGCCAGACATTTCACATGCGACTCCGATTGCAAGTGCAACAACATTCTCGATGTCACGTTTCGAGCAACTAATTTGTAAATATTCGTCTGAAGGCAAAAAGTTTGCGGTGTTGTGTGTGGCTCTCCTTCTCCATGAGCAGACCACCTCTATTCTATCCCTGCGATATGTCAAAGGTGCAAGAACGCGAGGTGGTGGGTGGTGGCAGGTGGGGAAGGCGGAAAAGGTGGGCTAAAATACAGGTGAAGGCAGCTGCATGCCATGTGGGACGTGTGCGGTTTTGATGCGGTTTCGGTTTAACAGCTCCCCATGTAAGCCGCCGCCACCTGGGCCCATAAAATGCAGTCAACGAGCTATGCGGATGGAGATGAGTTTTGTCAGCTTAAAGTGGCTCATAATGAAGTTGCTACTGCACGTGCAGCAGCCATCGGAATTTGAATGTTGATTGAAAGGCCTCTGTTGACCTGTGTGAGCATAAGTGAATGTCCCAACTTTATTTTGCAGATATATTTATCTCTATAATAAAGGGGAGAACTGGTTGGCTTGGTATAAGATTTTATAAAAAAAATGTACTTAAAATTAATCAGAACCAAATGTAGATCCGAGAAAAAAAAAACCTTTTTAATTAGGTAATAATTAATATAGTGTTTGAAAATAATCAATGAACAAAAGTATTAAGTTTAAATTTTAGGATAATTCCTCTTAAATAACATTAATGACATACAAATTACCCATGTTCTAGTTGTGAAAGAGCCCCTCTTTCGTGCAACTCGAAGCACTTAGCATGAATTTTAATGCTGCGCGAGGCACCGCGTCGTTTCGGCCTTTCATCAAAATTCAATTGTCTCCGTTTTCGGGGCCCTCGACGCCAGTTCCAGATACCAGAGAACCCAGAGATCCCAGAGATCCAGAGCTTCGCTAAAACGGACAATCCGCCATGGCCATTGTTGACCCTTTTCGCGTCCTTTGTTTTTCGCTCGGCCAGCCAAGCGAGCCAAGTGGACGTTTATCTTTTGCAGTCACTGTGCACTTCTAGTTGGCCCGGCCAAAAGTACAAACTGCAAGTGTATATAAACCATTTTATTTGCGCTCTGGTGCGGCATATGTTTGCATAACATTTCGTGAAGCGTAAAGGGCCCAGCTGGCGGCATAAAAAGAGCTCCTTGGGACCTTAAAGCGGGGGAATTTAATTTAAGGGTGGCCCATCAACACATGTAGAATAGTCTATATATTTACAGATTTCTTTGCGGTTTTCAACATTGTCAAATTCACAAAACCCGTTCTGTGTCAAGATACATACATTTTTTTTTTTACATTTTTTGGATACACGCGCTGAAAACAGCAGCCGGCGGAAGCGGCCATGGAAATATGGGAGGTTTTGGGTGGGTGGCATCCGAAACCGGGGCGGCTTACACGCAATAAACCGCTTTGACCACCGATCCCTGCTTGGACATCGAGTCCTTGTGCAGCTGGTACTGCAGTTGGTGGGGCGGCAGGACGAGCAGGTCGCGTAGCTTGAGTCCAATCTCCATGACGGCCAGCTCGTTGTGCCCGTTGGCGGTCCAAATTGCTGGCGGAACAGGGAAGCTGTGTTAGGAGTTGTCATGGCGGTGCTCAGTGGCTAGCAAAGCCCAAAACACGTTAAAAAAATTTTGTAAACAAGCTTAAAAAAGCGGATAGACCTCTTAGAACTAATACTTTTTATCACTATTTTTTTAACAATGTTTTTCAGTTTAATTTTTTTTCTAATAGTTGCATTTTAAGTAAATAACCACAACCATTTTTAAAAAATAAAAAATTTTATAAAGTTTGGTGTGTAAATAAATCGGAACTTACTCTTGATAAATATATAGAAATTTAGAATATTTTGGTATATTAAACCTTTTAAATAATATTAATATTTGGTTTTTTATTATATTAACCAAAGCTCGAATTTTCAGAATTTTTAAAATAAGATTTTAAAAGAATTTTTAAAAGAAATTTTTAAAGAAGATATTTTTTTTAGAGTGCTACTTACAAATTTTGTTGCTTTTGCCGCGCAAGTTGATAACAGCGCCGCAGACTTCTTCAGTGTGCTCAAAGGCCTCGCCAATCAGTATGAGTAGCTGTCAGTGGGCAGAAAAGAGGTTGTGCAGTTGCAACAGATGCGACACTCGACGGACACAAAGCTCCCATGGCTACTTACCACATCTAGCCAGAGCTTGTCAAGCTCCAGTTTAGAGCCACGCCCCATATTGATGACCCAGCGGCCGCCGAACTTGTTGGCAGAATCCTCCCACATCGGCCTGAAAGAGAAGAGAAAGGGTCATTAAAGCGTAGATGAAAAATACCAAGAAATAATCGAAAAATATTTCTGAAAAATATTGATATTTTTAATATTATTCAGTAAACAATATTAAATTGGATAGATATTTTTATGAGGTGATTAAGAGGTGATTTATAAGACTTGAGCTTCTTACCATTTACGTAAACATTTGTTTCTCAATTTCTGTCTCATGTTTAGTAAAAATATCTAATTAAATAATACCCAACTCACTGTATCCCCTTCTTGAACAACGAATAATCACTGCCGACTCGAATCTCGGATGGTGGCTTGATGTGGTTGTACAGGCTCCAAAAGTCCTCGACCATGTCGAAGCTAGTGATCTCGTTTTGCATGTCCTCCCAGGACTTGCTGCGATCGTTCTCCAGATACCAGAGCGTCCAGGTGTTCTCCAGGGGATGTTTCAAGCGCAGATCGACCAGCTCCTTCAGGGGCGGACGCAGATCCAACTCCGAAAGCGTTTTCAGATCATGACTGGAGCTCGAACAGGAATCGGTCAGCGTCTCGGTGCTGCAGTCCATCATCTTGAAGTCGGTCTGCTGGGCCGTCAGCATTTTCGAGGTTATATTGGCGAATTGTCTATAGTATACTGAGTCGAATTTATAACCACTGGACGCTATTGAAATTTCAGAGCACTTGGAAAAACGATTTCACACATAGACACAACACGATAATGTGTACAAGGGCCTGGCTGCAAAACCAGACTGACTCCATTTCCCCTTTCAGACAGTAAAGTCACAGTAAGGGCTGTTCGGGGTGTATTCACTCGTCTCGCCTTGAATTTCCCCGTCTTGGCCTGGCCCCAATTCATAACTTTCATTGCACGTAAATAATTAGACACTCGTTGGGCCATCGCTTCAAGCACCTAACGCCAAACGCCCTTTGGCCCCAGTTCCTTGTCCTTCTAATTCAACTCTAAACTTTTTATGCTCTCGTAAGGTTCGCTTCAAGTTGAAACACAGAGAAAAAAAATTAAAAGTAATTGGATGGCATTCTTTGTATGTATGTAAAAAAGAACAAACACTTTTCGCGGATATTTTTTTTATTAGCCAATCCAAAGTGAGATATAACTTTTTCTAATGCACAAACAAATTAAAAAAAAAAATTTTTTAATGATTTTAAAAATTTCTGTTAAACATCTACTATTTTTAAAATTTTGTATTATTATTTTCAACGTTATAACGTGCACATTTTCGTTTTATTTTATAATTCAAGCTAAATTAAATATAAATGAAAAATGTAGAACTAAATTATTAGTTTTTAAATTAAATTTTTGTCTATTTTTTCCCTCTGCATTTCCATGTCTCGTATTCGCTCATGGCCATCTTGTTGGCCTTGGTGATAAAAATCGAGCGCCTTATGCTTTCGTTCATATAAAGCGTTAATTTTATGACACAGAATGGAAGGACACTTGAGCGACTCCAAGTCCAGAGAGAAATTTACGCACTCACACTTTTCGCCTCGGTTGCCTCCTTTCTTCTTTTTTCTCCTATGATTTTACGACAATTGAGAGGGGGCCAGGCAAAAGGCGAATTGAGGAAGGAGGCAGGAGAGGGGGTCGAGTCACAGAAGGTGGAATTTTCCGGGCTTTGATGGTGTTGATAATGATGATGTTGTTGCTATTGCCAGAGCTGTCGTCTTTTATGTTGCCTGCCATAAAAGTGAAAATATTATGAAGCTTGTTCGAGACTGGAAGAGGAACAATGAAACGGCTACGTAATTGCCGGCAAAGTATCTCGAAAGGCATCTATGAGGCAGTTTTTGACTTGTGCAATTGACATTGCCGCACAACAGTTGCGATAACATGACAACCCAGAATGCTAATAATAGACAAAGCGACAATATCGAAATTGAGACAAGTACCTTCTACGACTTTAATTTGACACTTAAATGACAGGATCTATTTGGGGAGAGTGGAAGTGCAGGAGGTATCCTTGCCGGTTAACAAACGCCCAAAAGACGCAAATGGACAGCAGTTTCAAGAGGAATTTCGTGTCCAGCGTGATGCCATACATGGTGACCCGGATGCGTTGCAAGATTCCCTGGTGGAGCAAGTCATCAATCTGAATTTTAAGTAAATAAATTAAAATACAATATACCTTTAAATATAATACCCTACTCACAGTTCTATCCGTTGCCTTATGATAGTTGATTAAATTAAAACTGCAAAAACTTCTTGTAGTCCTCGATTCACCAGAGAGAATCTCAAAAATGGAACATGGGAATATTATATTTAGAGCCGAAATGATAAGATAATAAAATCCATCTTGGTCAATGGCCGTAAAGCACATAAAGGGCATTAGTCCGTAGATAAAAGCACACAGCCAATGGAACCGAAAGTGGCGGATGGTTCTAAGGGTCACCTGAAAGATATTCGAACGCCCTTCCATTAACCTCTCAGTGATTCCTCGTAGTTGTTCCACCAAAACCAGAAAATGTCCGCTCTCAAGGACTTGGCATTGCCTCAGTTTGTCCATATCATTTGAGATCCTTCGACTGCATCGATGCAGTTCATTATAGCTGGCGATGAGAACCACAAACAGGCAAATATTGATGGTGATCTGAAGAAGGAAGCTGAGTAGAACTCCCAGCAGGATCAGTAGTAGAAAACTATTGGCCAGTGTGTCATAGGCTTCTTCAGAGTATCTACTGATTCCGACCACCATATTTAAGGACCGCAGAAGATTTTGCAAAGCCAAAAGAAGAAGCAGGAGGTGTCTCAGCCGAAAGATATTCGGATGCCGGGCCATCAGCTTCACCTGTCTTAGCACTTCATTGATTTGATTTAATAGCTCTACGATATCCTGACTATCCATAAATCCTCGGACTCGAACGACCAGCATCACAATACTGCCCACCAAATATGGCCAAACATCTGGCAGCCTATCAAACATTTTACTTATGTTAATGACTAGGAATATTGTCACTAAAGCGAGAATTAAACTGGAGTATAACCGCAGGATTCCGGACTGCCGAAAGCATCGGTGCCTTGAGCTATAGACAAAGGTGGTGACCCCACAGATCTGGGTCACCAGCACGATGAGCGTCAGGAAGTGGCGAGTCCAGCGGTTGAGCAGATTCACGTGCCTCATTGCGGCTGGCTTGAACAATTGATCCGAGACTTGGTTCGCCGCCCTTTCGGGGACAACAAAAACAGCGGGTGCCTCATTTGAATTATGACCGCATTTTAGCGCTGATGTACGCGCATTAATAAGCGGTCGAAGTTTTGATGGCTTAATCGATATGACGACGACGTCGGCAACTTCTGCTGCTTCGACCACAGCGCATTCTGCGGTCAGGTCGCGGCTCCAGCGCCCAAAAATATGCCAGCACTTTGGTCGCCCCTCAAGGAAGGATTATGTAACAAGGTCTTTAATTAGGAATGAATATTTGGAGTAAAGTGTAAATTCCAATTGCTGCGGTCACATTAATACAAGTGGCCAATGCGGCAATTAACAAAAATATTTTTATTGCAATTACTGAAATATTTGAATTTTATTTAAGGCTTATATATATTTCACACTTTACAGCAAATGCAGTAATAAACACAAATATTGGTATTTTAATTGCAATAATATTTGCATGTCATCAAAGGTTTTAATCATACAAATTATCCAATAAGTAGCATTTTATAATAAATGCACATTACAAAGTTTAAAAACTGAATTTTTCAGTAAAATAAATTCTTTAAATCTATAATTTTTTCACAATCAAAAGCCACTTAAAAATCTCGAACTTAAAAGCGCAAAAGACAATTAATTTCTTAAAGGGAGAAAACATTTTTAGCCTATGCGGAATATAATGCACAGTTTTAAAGCTCAATTAAATTGCAAGAGTAATTCCTTTTAATCTGTATTTTTTTCACAATCGAAAGCCTCTTGAACATCTCGAATTTAAGAGCACAGAGGCCCATGAATGTCTTGAAGAAGCCGACATTTTTAACCTGGCCGGAAAGCACTCCGGCAATATATTATCGTAATTTTACTTCAGTGCAACCAACTTCCACTTCCATTAACCTCAATAAGTTCTGAGTTATGCTGCGTGTTCTTTAAACAGATTCGAAACGGCCGACTCCACGGCCTGCACAACAGACTGGCGCATATCTTTCTTCTCCTTTGTTTGCCGGTCAATACGGAGGAAAAACAATCTCAATCTCGTTTTACGCTGCCGTGTAGGGTTGTTAAAAAATCGATAGTGGACACCATCGATGTTTTTAGCTATCGATGGTGGTCACTATCGATACTATCGATAGTATCAACAATTAAAGAAAATAAAAAACAAAATGTTAAAATAAAGGAAAATTATGAAAAACAAATTATGGAAAATGTGTGGTTGGGAAAGAAACGGTCTAACTTTGAGCCTTAACAAATAAAATACCGTCGTGTTCTTAAGTATATACTTTAAAATACTTTTTATACCCGTTACTCGTAGAGTAAAAGGGTATATTGTATTCGTGCAAAAGTATGTAACAGGGAGAAGGAAGCATTTCCGACCCTATAAAGTATATATATTCTTGATCAGGGGCACTAGCCGAGTCGATCTAGCCATGTCCGTCTGTCCGTCTGTATGAACGCTGAGATCTCGGAAACTACAAAAGCTAGAAGGTTGAGATTTTCCACACATATTCTTGGGCCTCCTACGCAGCGCAAGTTTATTTCAACCGAGCGCCACGCCCCTTCTAACGCCCACAATCGCCCACTAACGATTTTAAAATGTGTCCTGCGCCCACATCTTTAAAGATTTCCGAGAAGTATAAATGCAATTTTGTTGTGCATACTTATACCTATCGAAATGTAGAATCGGACCATTCATTAAAAAAAGTTATACGCAATCAAAAAAAGGTTATATATCCATCTCCCTCGCACTTCCTTTAGCCGAGTGACGGGTATTAGATAGTAGGGCCACGAACCCGACTATAGCGTTCTCTCTTGTTATACCCTTGCAACGCAGTGAAGGAGACGTTTCCGACCCCATAAAGTATATATATTCTTGATCAGCATCACAAGACGAGTCGATCTAGCCATGTCCGTCTGTCCGTCTGTCCGTCCGTCTGTCCGTCTGTCTGTTTCTACGCAAACTAGTCTCTCAGTTTTTGAGCTATCGGGACACAACTTTCGCAAAAGTCTTCTTTCTATATATGTCGGAACCGACCGGATCGGACAACTATATCTTATAGCTCCCATAGGAACAATCGGAAAAAAATAACTTTAAAAAATTCTAGCTTCGGTGTTTTTTGAAATATTACCTTCTACTTTTGGGGATGTTATTTTTTAAATATTTCTGAATTTCGAATAAATTATATAAAAAATCGGACTACTATATCATATAGCTGCCATAGGAACGATCGGAAAATTAATGGAAAAGTAATAGGAAATAAATTCTAGCTTCTTTGGTTTTTACTGTATTATCTTCTACTCTAGGATATGACTCTTTTTGAATATTTCCTAATTTCAATTTTAATTTAATCAAAATCGGACGACTATATCATATAGCTGCCATAGGAACGATCGGAAAATTAATGAGAAATATTAGAAAATTGAACATTTTTGCGATTTGTTAATTAATAGGAATGATCTGCAAGGGTATATAAGCTTCGGCTGGCCGAAGCTAGCTTCCTTTCTTGTTTTTCCTTAAAATATACCAAAAGTTGCATGTAAAATAAAATTATTTTTTTGGAGCGATAGTATCGATTGTGGGTTCAAACCATCGATGTTTCCTAAATATTAAAACCATCGATAGTATCGATAGTGCTATCGATTTTTTTAACAACCCTACTGCCGTGCGGCGAGCACATTTAATTACGCAACATTTACGTTAAAATTTTATTGTCCGCATTACTGAACACCCGGCACCCGGATCCGGGTTCGAATCTGAGTCCGGACTTGGACTCAATCCTTCGATCCCTCATTCACTGCCCTCAGTGCACTCAGCTGTGGTTTCCGTTACACATTTCGCGCCATTGTCCAAAAGGAGGCGTGGTCCGCCCCTCAGATCTCCGCCCAGTGTCGACATGCATGGGCTATCTCTTCTCCTGGCAGGCGGCTCATTTTGATTCGCATCTGAAAACGAGAACGCATCATTTGCGCTGCCAGCGAATGTTGGCCATGTTATTGGCATATTTTTTAATGCTGCCGACAGGACGGGGGCAAACTGATATAGACAGCAGCTCAAGGATGGAATGACTCTATCAGCGCTGGCTGAACAGAAACAAAAAAAAAACAGAAAAATAACATTGCGGTCGAGAGACCGGGAAAAACAATGAGCCGATGGCCCAGAAACCTGAATCAAAAGTCAGAAGTCAGGTGCATAAGTCAATCTGGGGATCCAGCTCTTTCACTCCAATTTCATCCGAAAACAATATAGGTGTCTCAGAAATTACAGGAGTATCGATTATGAGTTCGTTATATTTTTTTAAAGCTAACAAACAAATAATTATGAGATGATCAATATCCAAAAAGATTTAAAATCATTTTTATAATTTTCAATTTAAATTTTTTATTTATTTGTACCTAAAATTCAATACAAAATAATTGTTGTCTTCAGGGACCCTAACTGTTATGAGTTTTATGTTAAAAATCACATTTTAACAGTTATTTTCTGATTTGTAAAGTAAAAGTCAAAGAATAACTGTTATTTTTTGAGTTTTATAATAAAAGTTGTCAAATAACCGTTATTCGTCGTGATCAAAAATAAAACTCAAACTTGATTTATGGCGATTTTGTGGGTAAAACAAATTTTAAAAAAATATAGTTATACAATATGCACGGTTGGCTTTTTTTAAAGATTTTTTGTAAGTTATATAAAACTCGGTTATCAAATTTTTTTTTAATAATTTCATTTTTTCAAAAATGTCAAGAGAATAACTGTTATACATAAAAATCAACAAATAACAGTTATTTTTGACTTTTATTATAAAAATCAAATAAATAAAAATCATTACGGATTTGTAAACTACCATGGCTTACAAAAATAATGGTGTATTTCAAAAAATTTTTCGACTCTTCTAAGTGCATGATTTTTTTGGTAAGAAAAATTTACAATAACAGTTATTTTCGGTCCCTGGTTGTCTTCCATACTAAAATTCTTAAAATACTATTTTAATAATATATATTTTTGTATGATCTAATGAGTCGTTCTAATGAACGTCGTTCCCGAACTTTCTTTCGGCAAATGTTGAAAATATTTTTTTTCCTAAGTTCTGGATGAAAAATTAAAGTAACTGCCGTGGGTAATATTAATTTATCCGTTGGGAAATTAAAGTAACTGCCGTGGGTGGCATTGGGTGGACTGCGTTGAATCGTCAATTGTCAGTTTGTTGCATTATCAGCGCTTTACGGCTCATTTGCGTTTTGAACATGTGTAAACAAGGCGAGGCAGATGGTCGAGCACCTCCTTTGGCCCCACGCCCCAAAAACAGTTTGCCTTTCACAGGATATGCCAGTTGATATTGCCCCCGGCTAGCACAGACAACTCATCATCATCAGCTACAGAGCTATAGAGCTACAGCCACGGCAGCAACGTTTTTAACAGCAGTGATTTATGAAATTTGCAAACAAGCCAGCCCAACAATTTCCAGCTGCAGTCGCACGTTCGCATTTATTTTGCGCATATTTAATGAGCACAAATATTTTCGCAATATGTAAATTATGAAACATGCACTGTGCTCGTTCCATCCGGAACTTAAAAATATGCCAATGGCGCCTTATTAAGCGCTCATTACTCACGCCGCCATACCGAAAATTTATGTACATTTAAAGGCTTTGCCAGTGCATATGTCCACTCGTCCATTCGTCCACCTGTCCATCTGTCCATTCGGTGGATGGCAGCTCTCTGTGTGTTCCAGTGCCTCAGTATCTTGTCTGTGGTGCCAGTGCCACTTGTCTGCGGTCGGGATGACAGTCCATGAATCGGTCGCCGGATGGCCGCAGTTTTGCGGCAGGAGCTCGGCAAAGATGAGCCATAAATTAGTCGAAAGGGGCCGGGATTTGTCCGGTTGAGTGCAGGTGGAATCTGCCCGATGCCCCATGATTAACTCTTAAATCTGCTCATGTTTGAAGTGTACTTTAACCAATGACCGCGCTGAGAGATTTGC